TTGGTTGTTAATGTGAAGGTTAGAACATATATGAGCATCTTTGTTTTATTTAATAAGTTCACATGAATTAATTTTGTAAATATGCAACTATTATATATTTTTAGTACAAAAAAAAATGTTAAGTTTAAACGAATTATTAAATAATAAAATATTTGTACATGTCTATTTTTATGTAATTTATTTTAATAAATGAGCTTATAGAATATTTTAGAAGAAATTATACTATTTAGTCTTAGTATGCCCACTTAGCATCCATCTGAATAGGAATAAGTTCGTAGCTAACCACAAAGTGTCATAAAATCAAAATTTTCTAACAAATTAAAATTACTTAGATTTCTGAGACCAAAATCCCCATTTAAAATATTGTTATCTCTGTTTTGTTAAGGATAAATGACAGGGACGACAATATGTTTTACACACAGTTATTGGTCTCAGAAACCAACAGTTATATAAGCTTAAATTATGTTTTTTTACAGCAATGGGATGTCGCTAGGCGCTGGCGTAGATTGGAGGACAGTCCTACAAGCTATAACTGGTGAAACAGATTTATCTTCAGCTGGTTTGTTGGAATACTTCGCACCATTGAGTCAATATCTGCGCAAAGAAAATGAGAAAATGGCAAATCTCACTGAAGATATGGACAAAAATCCACCAATAATTATAGGAGCTATAATAATATTTGTGATATTGACAATGATAATAGCTTATTGTGTTAAAAAGAAGGATGCGTATAGAAAAGTTCTCTCATGGTTTGGACTTACTAAGAACGGCTCTTTAGATATTGTGACCAATGAAATGACTCAAACTAAATCCAAAGAAGATGAAGGAGTAAATGAAGTTAATGTGTGATTGTTTTTAATAAAGTGATCCTATAAGGGTTCCGTTTCTTTCCTATGAGGTACGGAACCCTAAAAAGGGATTGTAATATGTTAAAAATATATGAAAATATAATAGTGATTCTTTTTAGAACAGTGAAAATGTGCCACTACGTCGATTAATTTTGTTAGTATTATTTTTTAAGTTTTTTTTGTTATTCATGTGTGGTCTTTAATTAAGTTTAATCTTTGTTAATTAAGTTATTTTTGAAATAATATGATGTATTAAATAATTATTCATTTGTTTAATATATTAGTATTAGTTGTTGTTTTTGGATTTTTTTTTATCTCATAAGGTGGCAAACGAGCGAGCGGCCACCTAAAATCACTGAAATAGCGAAGTGACCGTTGCCCTTAGACATACGCAATTGCATATGCGTTGCCTATCTTTAATCGACGGAGAAGAGGATGCACAGAAAGAAAATATTTTCCCTTTCAATGCATCCTCTCATCCGGAAAGTCTACTTCCACTTCCCATTCTTTTCTTGTGAGAAAAAGGGTGGGAAGGGAAAGAGGACTAAATTAGGCCTCCGGGACGCACACTCATTAGACGAAACGCGGAATTGCTTCCACTTCACGCCTGTCTTCTGTGTGGTCGTGGTATTTCACCGGACGAGCCGGGCCAATTCGTGCGAAGATGTTAAAGCGGGCTAACTGATAATAGAAAGCGAGTCATATGACTTCTTAGCTCGTTGCCAAAAGTTCATATTAAGTCCTATAATTTTACTGTAATATCGTCTAGACACCAAGAAATAAACACAAACGAGGAGCTAAAAGGAATAAATTCATCAAGACTTTTTTTTAATAATTTCAAGAAAAATACTATTTTTTTACGTTTATTTTTTTCAATTTCAGATTAACTATAATCATTGAACTTATAATTTTCCGTTAAATTTGTGTATCATTCCATGAACACCCTGTACACAAACGCTAAGCTTTACATTGTTAGTACTAATTATTGGAACAAATATAAACCAATGGCGTTGGATCGAAGGAAGGTGGTAATGTCAGTGACATATGACAACGCCGATTAAAACATATTGTTATCTCTGTTTTGTCAAAGATAATGATAAGGAAGGCGATATGTATTACACAGAGATTTTCGTCACAGAAAACCCACGGTGAATGAATATATGTAATTTAGTTACGGTCTTTAAAATTACGCTTGTATTAAACAAGATTTAGATTACTAGATACATACCACTTTTCTATTCATTAACTATTTAGGAGGATATTATGGACAACGCACTGGCATGTTTGTTTCCTGAAGAAATACAAAAAATATAAGATTGCTTGCTATGATTACGTTGACATTTTGCTTTTTGTCTACGGCAAGGCATACGGGACTTATATTTTGTATGTTCTAAAATACAATTGAATGTATGGATGTATGAATGGATGTTTGTTATAATGTATCAACAAAACGGCTCAACAGATCCTGATGGAATTTGGCACAGATGTGGAACATAATCTGCCAGAACACATTGGGTACTTATTACGTTTTGTTTTTAATTCCGCGCGGACGGAGTCGCGTGCGACAACTAGTTTAAATGATAACACTTCTTTGACAGGACCTAGTCCATCACATATATCAAACTAGCTGTCGCCCGCGACTCCGTGCGTGGATATATAAAAAAACTTAATTAGTGTGGCCTATGTGTTCTTTCGGACTACGTTCTATACGTATGCCGAATTAAATCGAGATCCGTTCAGCCGTTCTAGAGATATCTTCACACACCCATCCATCCATCCACATCACATCCATCTAAACATTCGCATTTAAAATATTAGTAAGTTAAATAAAAAGCAAGCTCTTCAAGGCATAAATTCGAAAAAAAAATGAATAAATAATATCCCATGTCCGTCTCCTGGCTCTAAGCTACCTCCTCACCAATATTCAGCCATATCGGTAAAGCCGTTCTTGAGTTATAAATAGTGTAACTAACACGATTTTCTTTTATATATAAATAATTAACACATAATAGATGTATTCGCGTAACTTAAGCCTTCTTGCAACGAGAACAAAAGTGAACGTAAGTTCAAGTCTGAGGATGTAGGGCATGTCATATGTTGTCATTGACATATCGCTAAGAAACTTAAATAATATTTCGCATTCAGAAATCTCAATTAAAAAATTTAACCGGTATTATTGTCAATATTTCAATTTAATAAAAAAAAACTTCAAGTTAGTAGAAAGCGAATAAATACTGAGCGTCTTTGTTCTTATTAACAACTATCTTCTGCCAGCGACTCCATCTGCATGGAATTAAAAAAAAACTTAAAACAACTAGATACTCCTAGTATATATTTACATACCAGAGATTTATTATGAAACAGTGCCAATAAAGGGTAATTATTGACGCCATACAATGGTTCGTACAAAGAATCCTATTTGTATTGATTTGGTCCATTCTCAAGAGATTCATTCTATTAAATTATTTTATAACATAAACAAACAGGTCCTTAAAGTCCCAATATTATTATATAAATGGGAATGTCCGGATGGATGGATGGATGTTTTTCCAGAGATCTCTAGAACGGCTGAATGGATCTCGATCAAATTTAGCATACATATAGAACATAGTTTGGAAGAACACATTTAATAATAATTATGCTTTTTTAATTCCGCGCAGACGGAGTCGCGGGCGACAGCTAGTAAGGATATAAAGTCAAGGTTGGCTAAAAGATGTCCTTTAAGATATATGCATTATTTATTTTTTGTAAACAACCAAAGGTAAGTAAATTTGCGTCATAATGAGAAAGAGTGTTGCAATACTAGATTAAAATGTAAAAAAAAATATTATACTTGTGAAGCGCAAAACATTTAAGCAAAAAGTATAGAAGAAGAAAAAGAATTCATTTTTCATTATGTTAGATTTATATGTAACTAACTGACACCGTTCGTGCAAATGAAAAAACTTAATGAGACTATTTGTTATTCCAGACTAATTTCTATACGTATGCCAAATTTCATCAAAATCCGTTATGCCGTTCCGGAGATACCTTCAAACAAATATCCATCCATCTATCAAAACATTTGACTTACTTGACTTATAGTCCTATGTCCCCGCAGTGGGGCAGAGGGCGTCCACAGTGCGCCGCCAGTTCGCTCTATCCTGGGCTCTGCGCTTGCGCGCTATCAAAACATTTGCATTTATAATATTAGTAAGATATGTATAGTAGGTAATAAAATCACAAAGTATTATTTTTGATAAAATTATGGAACACAGTATAGCATTTTGATGTGGTTTTTGCTATTTTAAAGATACAATTTTAAAGAAAGATTTTGCAAAAATTTTTGCGTTATTAGTATTCAGCAAATAACGACATAGATATAAAATGTTAGAATAATCTAGGTACAAGGGCCTATGACCCTTCTTGCATCTATGGTCTATGCCTAAGTTAAAGTAACTTTAGTTACCCATAAAAGTTAGCCTGTTCCTTAAATAAAACTGCAATTGTAATTTCGATAGCTGCATACTCTTGATTAAATAATTTAATTTATGTATTAACAAATAAATTAGTTAATTAAGTGTGGCAATAATTAATTAATTTGTAAAATTTAAATGCGTCTAATATAATTATGAATATTTTAATAATTATAAAATAAATAAGCAATAAAGCAATTAATTTTAATAACTTATGTTACTAACCTATTTACCTTTTATTAATTAATATGGATGTATTAGATTTATTAATTAAATTATTTTTTTAAAGCGTCAATGGCCTAATGGTTAAGGATACGAATTTCCGATCACGAGATTGGGGGTTTGTACCGTAAACCATATCCTAGCATAAGCCGAGAGCTTAGTTGGAACGGTTAAAGAAAAATTTGTAAATTTACAAAAAGAATCCGCAAATATTTCTAATAAAAAAAATTAAACGATTCAGGGAAAATAATTTGTATTTTGTATTATATTTTGCTGATCTAATACAAGCCATCTGTATACTGCATCTAAAAGGCGCTTACGTAAAAAAAATAAAACCTCGTCTAATTTTCTTAAAACAAACACGTTTATGCAAAATAATAAACAAAAGTGAAGAAGGCTAAGAAGGTGATGTATAATTGTCAACACGTAGCGATGTCCGTTTTGGATTAATTCATTGGAGTCTTGGTACGGTTGAAGACTAGTTGACAACAATCGGCCAACTGTAGTGGCTGCAGGCGAACGCGAATCACGCGCAACTTTACAGCAACATCAAAATTAATGTATAATATGGATGATATTTAAAAAAAAAATAAAGAAAAAATTTATTTTATAATTAAAATTCGTAAAGTGATAAGTGATGTTATTAGTTTGTGAATAAATAAAATACATAAAGGTGAGTTTTTTGTTTTTTTTAAGATGAAAGCTAACATCGGCCTAATTTTTTTTACAAATGAATTTTATTGTACGATTACATTTTTTTAAATTTTTTTAAATTAAAAAAAAATATTCCTCCGTATCCTTTCTTTTTTAAGTAAAATATTAAAATATCTTGTATTTCATTACATTTTTTTTTAGTTTTTCTATGTATAAAATAATATTTTTCTATACCCAAAATTTTTTTGACATACAAACATATTTTAGGAATATGATATGAATATAAAATTTGGACTGATTTTGACTTGAATCCTAGACCGACGAATGATAGATAAAAGTACCAACCATTTAACTATCCTAGACAAGATAATGAATGTTAAAATCATAGCATTTAAAAAAAAAAAAAAACTTTTTATAATTTATATTACATTTTTGTAAATGTTTCTTAGTGGCCAGCTATCAAGTCATAGCACAAAATCCATGTCCTAGCTAACCTATTAAAGATTAGAAAGTATTTTAAGTTGTGCTTGCATAAAAACTTCGCGAGTCATAAAGTAGTGTGACGACTGAGACTGTCTACTTTTAAATACTCAAGTGCTCGGTATACGATCATACTTTTTGTTTAACTTCGCCCGTTCGTCAAATTAATTCAAAAACATATTTTATATGTTTGGTGAAGACCTTCATGACCATGCGAAACATGTCTGAATTCACGTTTGAAATTACGACTATAGCAAATTTAAATAGACAGAACTATACATTTAACATATAGATACACTACAAATAAACTATTGGCCAATTAATAATTGCGTAAAACTGTAAAAATTGCGAAGATTTAATTAATTATATAATTACTTCAACATTATAGGTGTATTAACAATATGTAGCACATCTTGTTATGAAATCCCTTAAAACATTTGACTTTTCGCTGTAAAAAACGGGCAAGTTCATTTAATGTAGCTCATACTTGTAACAATTTTATATGCACGAGCATCCAATCTATTTACCTCTATAATACCACCCTAAAATATGCCCGGAAGAACGCATAACCATAGATCCTGTGCATTACACTTTTAATAAGTGTATCGTATATCTAACTTCGTTAATTGATGTTTAAATCTTAACCTGTAGATGTATCATGAGATGAACACTAGTGGATTGCTTAGCTTAAAGAAATTCTTTAAACATCTTTGAATGTGGATCAAATGTACATTCTACCCATACTTTAGACGCTATGGACAGGGTCTAAAAAGTCTTAGTTATGAAGGTCTTTAACAGTCGTTATTGTTGTTTTTTTTACGGGATAAGATATCAAGGATCAAGTATCCATAATAGTACGAACAGAGCAGGTTTATATTATAAAAACTATGTTAAAACAACCTTCGAGTAATAAAAAAATGCATTCAAGAGCATTGTATGTGCATAATTTTCGTATTCACTTCCTGTATAATGTTTGACATTTCACGAAGCAACTTCATTTTAGATAAAGACTATAAGTATTGAGGTTTATAATTAGAATAGGCTTTGCCTGCGAAAAAGTCTGCTCTGTGTCAAAAAAAAGGTGAAAGGAAGGCCTTTGTTTCTGTGCCAAATGTCAATAAGATGTGTTGAACCGTTGCAGTGTCATCTGTAAATTAAAATGTGTTCTACCAGACTGGGTTCTACATTTATACTAAATTTGATTGAGATCCACGCAATCGTTCTGAAGATAACTTCTAACAAACATTTATTCATCCACACATCCAAAGATTAACATTTATAATATTAGTAAAATGTAAATATGAATGTGGGCGGAGTACATCAGTAGAGATTGATTGCCTGAAAGATGACATGATTAAGGTGGGAGTGAAAACCAAATGACGAAAGATCTGAAGGAGGAAAACTTAGTGTAGCGACTCGACATGAGCTTGACGAGAATAGGGAGATAATAAATAAAGGGATGCCACACGGGTGGTACAACAGCGGCATAGCATCAACGAAAGTGCCACAGACAAATGTAGTTATGCAATGCAACGCACGTAACCATCACGTCGTAGAGTTGAAATATGTTTTAATAATTTACAATTTGCAAATAACTATTGTAGAATCCTTCGTCTAATAATGAATACTAACTTTAGTGCAAAAAGGTTTTCAAGTGTGTTTGTGGTCGTTGGTTAATTAAGCAAATACGTATTTTCCTTGAATTTACTGTCATAAAAAAGACATGCGGTAAATGTTTTTATACTATTGTTATATATTTGAACAGAATAGTTTTTAATTAACAGGTTTCGCAATCATTGGCATAATAACAGTAATTGTAGTCTTTATTTAATTGGGTATAATGTACCCAAACTCAAATTTTTCTTTTCGATTTGATTGAAAGACACTTTATATAGGTATAAATCTAAGGATGTTAGTCAAGCGAACGATTGTCAAACAGGATTCCCTAAGTAGGTTTTACTGGTTCTAATATTCAAGTTGTAAACTTTCACGCCGTTTATGCGAACGCCGTTCGGGGACAGCATTTAAATCTTATTCCAGTACTAGTATCTATCTATTTAACGGAGTCTTATTTATTTTAAGAACTTTCAGACATTATATTAATTTAACAAAATACGTACTATTTAAGTAAATTTATATTAGACGTTACATTTTTCATATATTTATACGATTCATAAAAACTGCAATCATGGTATTATATTACACAATAAATTTTACTTTTAATCGAGTTTACATTTTTAACCACTTCTTAACTTTTATTCTTACTAATATGTGAATGTTTAAATGGATAAAATGGATGTTTGTTAGAAGGCATCTCCAAAACGGCTGAACAGATTTCGCTTAAATTTAGCATAGATGAAGAACAAAGCGTCTAAGAACACATAGGCTACTTAAGTTTTTTTTTTTAATTCCGCTTCAACAAAATCGCGATTGACATGGATGAGATGAGATGGTTACAAAAGTCTTCAATAATTTATTTAAACCTTGAAATTCGTAGATAAATCGTATTTAGATTTTAGCATGCATTCAGCGCATGATAGTGTAAGAATGAAGGTTACATAAGCATTGTGTACCATCTTATATACGTGACTGGTAATGATGCGAATTCGCCATTCACCATTGCAGAGTTAACTTTGAAATCAATATTGTACTCGTTACCGCAACAGTTAATACTAATTACAGTATTTTATTTAACTTCATCAGTAATGTAACTCAAGCCCATAGTTCGCCAAAGTGGTCAATATGGACCCCCTTGGAGCTATTTGATTAAAGCAGGGGTCGATCTCAGCCAGAGGATCGAATGGGCATCGAAGAAAAAACAATGTAAATCACATGTCTTATTGAGTATGTTTTATTATTTTTAAATTCAACAATTTACATAACATCGAAAATCCAGTTTTTTTATTTTTGTCTGCCTATCTGTCCGCATAAGTTCCGGGTAATCTCCGAAAGGAATGACCCAATTTTCAGGCAACTGTGACGGGAAGGTTGCTGATGCATACTGGAATATTATAGGCTAATTTTCTATGCTTTGACTAAGTCACGGGTAACCGCTAGGATTGTATAAATATGTGTGTTTTATTTGAACTTGAGTCAGAATAAAAATAAATAGAATTTAAAAAATCCGACCATACCTGGCTGTCCGATTTTAAAGTTTTATTATTAGGTCTACTACGTTAAAACAATTTCCTTGTGACTGTCGTAAGGCGCACAATCGGTTACAACCTACTGAATTTAGCTTTGGTACTACCGAAGGGACATGTACAGGGTAATCCTGTTTGGTAACTTATACGGACCAAAATATATTTGGCCGTTGATATGTCAGGGATTTAAAAATAATACAAGTTACTCGGTGGTTCAAGGGTTAAGCATTTGACTTATAATCTGCAGGCCCTGAGTTTGTGGGACGTTCTTAGGGTTGAGAAGAACATCGTAATGCCACCTGAAATCTGTGAAGAACAAAAACATGTGTGAAATCAACCAATCCATACTAGGCCAGTATGGTTGACTATGGCCCAGTCACAATTAACTTAATGGAGTCTACGAGCACCTCAGTGGAGACGAATAGTGAGCTGATGATGATGACAAATAAATTAAAGCGACATTATATTAAACCAAAAATTATAATTTGACGATAATATTACGTTAGATCGTACAATAATTGCTGGTAACATCATTTTCTGTTATTATTTAATTACACAGTTTACGCTTGCGACAACGCAATCGCAAACTACTCGAATAAATGACCGTTGACAACTAAATTGTTACGCCATTTATGTTTAGTGAGTAAATATAATTATGTTTGGATCAATTTGCCCTTTTCCTAATTTCGGAATTGGCTAATAATTACTAAAAGAGATAGATACATTTCTAAAGCTTTTTAGTTTATGAAATTTGAAATAACGATATTATAGCAGAGTCTGGTATCCTTAGCGTAGCTAGTTATGGTATTCCTAGGTATTCTGATCCATTTTTGACTTTTGTTTTGTGTACTCATGCGAACTTCTAGGTTATTTTTAATAAGCAACAAACTTGTATTTTTATTTTTTTCCTATTGTCACTATCTGGTTTTTCATAAGATAAAAATTTTCAAACCACCAAAGAATAATATATAAGAATATTTTTAATTTCATTGTAAGGAAGATATGAATCTAAATTAAAGTAAAATAAAACCCGCCGAACTATTTGCTTGTAAGCAGATGATGTATCATCGCGTATAAAGTGTTGATTCGGTAACAATTTTAATTAATCCTTCATAAAGTTATGCTAAACCTGCAGTTATCTTCAGGCAGCTGGAACAATATTCTTAAAGACGCCACAAACACAGATTTTATCTTTTTTTTAAATGGCTATGACCTTGTGTAACCAGCGATTCCATTGTTGCCTAACTTACAGTGTTTACATCACAGTATAATCACTGCAACTTTAATTGTATTCTGCAAATTGTAAGCTTGTCTATGTATGCGTGAATCGAACAATGTTTGCGTTACATCATAGTGACGTACCAATTCATCACTAACTGATGATGTGAAATCCCCC